AATTATAAGAAGGAGCCCCCCAAATAGGATAGGGAATTATTGAGGCCCGTATTGTAATCCCATGGTCGTAGTGTATTGGGACCCGACCACTCTGGGGGTGTAGGAAGAACATCTGCACATGGACCAGTGGAAATTCAAGGTTTAGGGTTTAGGGTTTAGGGTTTAGGGTCCTGGACCCTTTATGGTGGGCCTTGCCCTACACCCTAAACCCTTATAACCAAAGATCCTACCACATTCAGGGTCTGAACCCTAAAGCCCTAAACCCTGAAGCCCTATACTCTAAATCCCAAAACCCGAAAGCCCAAAACCATGTTCAGGATCCTGCCTCCTCTATGGTGGGACTTACCCTAAACTAGAAGCCTTACACCATTACGTCCCATGACTCTATAGTTCTAAGGCATCCCTCAAACCGCAACCTTACACCGAAACCCCCAAACCCGAACGTCCTAAAGCCTACTCGTCCCTAGTCAAGATCCTACCAAATTCAGGGCCTAAACCCCGAAGCCCTGACTCTGGTTTAGGGCTTAGGGCTTAGGGTTCCAAAGCCCAAAGCCCTAAAGCCCTAAACACAAGGATGACCCCTAATGTAGGGGCCTTAATACTTAGAATTGGTTTTGGTGTATTTTGTACTGTATTTGTAATAAGGAACCCCCAAAATACTATCGGTAATTATTTAGGTCTTCTATATTACAGTAGTTGGTATAATTATGCTAAACCCTAAACCCTAAACCCTAAACCCTGAACCCTAAACCCTAAACCCTAAACCCTAAACCCTAAACCCGCCGGTGATCCAAGCTCCGGTCCTGGATCTCTAGAGCTTTCTCGAGGTGATCCCGCTCGGCGACGGCATTGCCACAGAGTCCGTACCTCAGGATGGGGGGTTTAGGGTTTAGGGTTTAGGGTTTAGGGTTTAGAGTTTAGAGTTTAGGGTTTAGGGTTTAGGGTTTAGGGTTTAGAGTTTAGAGTTTAGGGTTTAGGGTTTAGGGTTTAGGGATGGGGCTAGGATATAAAGGCTGCTGAGGATGTTTATACGCTTGGCAGGGCCTCTCTACAAAGCTTTAGAGGGTTTTCTAGGCTCAGGGTGTACAGGGTTTTCCTTTTACTTTAAGCTGAAGTAGCCAGTGAGAAAAAGTAGACTTTTTACATAGTAGCGGTTCCTTTAAGGAAGAGTTCAAAAACAAGTATTCAAGCATGGTACTCCAAACCCTTAGGATGCTAAAATACAAACCTAAACCCTAAACCCTAAACCCTGGAACTACAATGCAGCCGATAGGTCAGAGTTTGATAAGGTTTCGGGCTGAAGGTCAAGGGTTCGGAACTTGGCTTAGGGCTTCGGTTTCAGGTTTTGTAGGGTTTAGGGTTTACGGCTTAGGTCTTGGAGTTTAGGGCTTAGGTTTTAGTGTTTATAGGGTTCACGATTTAGGGTTTAGGGTATTTAGGGTTCAGGGCTCAGGTTTTAGGGCCTATGGGGTTTAGCGTGTAGGGATTAGGGTATTTAGGGTTTCGGGCTCAGGTTTTTGGGAGATTCCAGGCTTTAATTTCTGAAAGCAAGTCCCAACCTTAAAAAGCTCAACACCTGCAGAAACCCTTTAGCTACGACCCTTAACACTTGCCCCATTGCCCTCGTAATCCACATCGCCAAGAGCAGTCTGAGCAGGTACCATACAAAGACTTTATACCCCGAAGTCGGGCTTCCTAACCACCCGAAGGCCTCTGGCAACATCTCGTCTATACTCGCGGCCAAGCTTCATTCTATGAAGACTAAGCATTGCGGTTTGGGATCTAGGTGTTTTGTCCTTAGCTGTTGGGGCTTAATTCCATAAGGATGAAAAGAACCTGAAAAGCAGGGGCCCTATACCCTTATACTATGAATCCCTATATGGTCTATGAACCCTAAACCCTTTTAGGGCTCTTCTCGTCCCTAAGGTAGAGGTCGCCTTTTTTGGGAAACTCAAAGCCACCGAGCAACAATTCCCAAACCACGAACCAGAGTCCCCTTGTCTGACTGCCGAAACCTAGGGCTCGGAAGTTAGGGTCGGTTGTGGGCTCGGGTTGGGGATGTAGAGACCTACCCACAGACTCTACTGTCGTTAGTCAGGATGACAGTGCTTGCATTATCGGATTGTTTCACCAGAGGCAGGAGCTATGTCGGAAACACTTTAGGCTTAAACCTAAAACCCTAAACTCGTGAACCCTAATCACTACAGCCAAACTCTAAGGTGGCAAGCTCTATAAACCGTAATCGCAATCCCCTATAAGCCCTAAATCTTGACTCTGAGACCGTAAACCGCAAACCCCGGAACGCTAATCACCTTGAGCCTAACCTTCCTTAAAACCCGAAAGCCCCAAACTTGAAAATCCTGTCGAACTGGTACATCTGTCAACCAGACACAAGAGCCTCAAACCCGCCAAACCAAACCCTGAGCCCCAAATTAAACACTAAAGCCAAAACCCCAGCCACAAAATCCAAAACCCTAAATCCCAAACCCTAAACCCAATGATATATTTCCTAAACCCTAAACCCTAAACTCTAAATCCCAAACCCTAAACCCAAGAATATATTTCCTAAACCCTAAACCCTAAACCCTAAACCCTAAATCCTAAACCCTAAACCCCAAACCCACGGGGATGCCGCTCCTCCATGCCTTGGAGAACAGCCAGGGCTTTCTGCCACAGTTTGGGCTGCTCTAAAGCCTGGCCATGGAGGGTTCAAAGGGTTTAGGGTGGTTTAGGGTTTAGCGTTTAGGGGTTTAGGGTTTAGGGTTTAGGGTTTAGGGTTTAGGGTTCAAAGTATCAGCTTAAGGCTTTAAGGGTTTTGGGGTTTCGATTTTTCTTGGCTCTTAGGGTTTAGGTAGTAATAGAAGTAGAAGGAGAAGCAGAAATAGAAGTAGAAGTGGAAGTAGTGGTGGTGGTAGGAGGAGGAGGAGTTGTGTCCACCGCTACCCACGACTCCTACTCCTCCTGCTGCACTACACTCTGCGGCTATTGCGGCTCCTGCCACTATTTGCCCAACCCCAAAAGCACTCAAGACTCTTATCCCGAAACCCTCAAGCTGTCTGCAGACACGTGTAACACCCTCATGCTGAACCCTAATTACTAGGCGACAGAGCCCTATTGAACAGTCCCTAAACCCTAAACCCGCAGAAGGTCAGGAATTGTCAAGCATTTGGAGGCGGAGTTCGCCAATTGCGACCGCGAGCTCTTCGCTGCCGAGTTGCGCAGATTGTGGCGTTGTACGAGATGATGTCGGGAGTGACATGATGCTCCTGGCACGGGAAAAATGCAACGACCAAGCCAAAACGTTCAGAAAACACGAAGCTATGCTCGTTGACACCTCAACCCTAAATTCAAAGCCGGTGGATGTTCTCATAATATAGAAACCTAAAGAAACTCCAATAGTATTCTGGGGGTTCCTTGTTATGATTATTGTATACTGGACTCCAAACCCCTGTTCTAATCATTAAGGCCCTACACCCTAAACCCTTATAGTGGCCCTTATAGAACCCTTTAAGGAACCCTTTAAAGGAACCCCCTAATCATTGAGGCCCCTACATTAGTCTGCAGAGTTCGATCTCCGAAACCCCCGAACCAATGAAACCCGAAGTCCTAAGTCTCCCTTACGAACCTTTGGAGCAAGACAGCCTGCAAAGACCTCAACAAGCGGTGTCAAGGTTTATAGGGTTTAGGGCTTAGGGTTTTAGGGTTTAGGGTTTAGGTTTTAGGGTTTAGGGTTCAGGCTCCAAACATCTCGCACAGCATATATTTCCCTAAAGCTCTGATCCAAAACAACCTGCCAAACCGCGATAAGTGCCCAAGTCTTCCTTGCTACGTACTCTATACTATGTAAAGCTGATGTATAATACCTCCAAGTGTGGATAGTTCTGACTGAAGATTTTTGTGTCTTGAAACGAAAACAAAGTCCAAACGTAAGGAGTAGTTGGACCCCTATTCGGGCTACATCCCACAAGCCAAATATGTGAGCCTCATGCGCCTTTGTTTTCCCAATACCGTTCGATAGCATCCCACGCATGACCTCATAAATAGCTTGTATACTTGCCGAATCTCTCGGAAAGTCTCACGCAAGGTTAAATTCCTCAAAATCCATGTCGGCATAACGTCTAACACGAGTACTGCGTCTCCTCTTTAACTATAGAGGCACCCAAAACCAAAAACCACGACCCTTAACCCTAACCCCAAAGCCCCAAAACCTAAACCCGAAACCCCAAGCCCTAGCCCCTAAACCCTAAACCCTAGACCCTGAACCCGAAACAGTCCTCCGCCGTAGCCAACAAGCTGACTGCTTCTATCCAAGCAGAGCCTTCGCGGCTGCAAGGCTAGAGGAATATTAGGGTTTAGGGTTTAGGGTTTAGGGTTCAGGGTTCAGGGTTTAGGGTTTAGGGAAAAAGCACCTCCCCAAACCCCAAACATCTTCCATGAGCTACTTTAGAATGGTTCTGCAAGGTGTTGAAAGATGTTTTTTTTGTACGGGCATCCCGGACCGGCAGGTCCTGATTAGTATTGGCAAAGCAAGCTAAGCTAAGGGAAGTGACAGCAGTAGGATGTGTATGCAGCTAGGTATAGCTGGGATGTTATTAGTGTTCAAGGCACTTCTCTTACTATCGGAATGGCTGTGTCACATGAGTCTGCGAACTTATGAGAAGCGCGGCACCATGCTCTGACTGAGATCAGCCTATATCGCGGGCTCTGCCGCGAAACCTGTTTGAATGCTACACCCGTTTGGTTCACCCCTGGATGTTGAAAGATAGGCTCGATCCCATCGACCACAAGTGGTAACGTGGGAACTTCAAAACAGTGGACCCCTAGTGCCCGAGATAAAATACTTTCGATGGACACAGCCCTGTATCCTAGGGACCTAGCAAACTAAAGGTTAACCTTGGGGATTATATCGGGGTTCATAATCATTACCCGAAAAACGCTAAAGGTTACCTACAGTACTCGACTAATTACTAGGTGTCAGGATCGTCCTTCATCTGCACACCATTAAACTGAATCCTCCACCCGGAATTCCAAGGCCAAAGCCCATGTACTCTCAAGCCCAACCCGAGCCATCAGCTGAATCTGAAGTGTCTACCTCTCTGGCAGGCACTGATGGCTGCGTTGTAGATGATCACCTCGGCATATCTTGATAGAGGTTAGGACGGTTAGGACTAAAAAAAGGCTTAAGGGTAGAGTTCCGGGTGCTGGCATAGAGGTATGGCCTTCGTGTCTGAGGCTACGCCACACCGCTTGCAAAATCAACAACCACAAACCATAACCACAAACCCTCGACGCCCAATATACGGGCCTTAATACTCAGAATAGGGTTTGGTGTATATTATACTATAATTATATTAAG